TTTCGCGTACAGCGCGTGCGCGTTGACGCATTGGCCGACGGTTCGTTACGTAGCGGCGAATCCGTTGGTGTTCGCGTTTAATCCGTTCGGCGTCGACGCCGAGGCGAACGCGACGTTAGTGATTGAGATTTTTCGACGGTTGGTGAAACCAGGGTTGAGGTTCGTCGCGTCGTGGTGCGCTTTGAGGTCGAACTGGCGATGGATGTGGGGAACTCTCGGCGCATCGATGTTGTTCCCAGCCGTTTTGTAATAACGCTACCGGTACCGGTACGGGCAATGATGTTCAAATTAAACACAACTATTGAACCGCGATCGTAAAGTCTCGCGAGATGGGCAGATTCGGTCGCCTGATGTTGGCTACCGCGCCGACGCGCACGACGTCGAAAGAGTCTCGAGTCGCGGCGCACGTCGCGACGTCACCCGTCGCCGACAAGCCGTGCACCGTCACGCGCTCGATGAGCGAGTGATCGATGAATGATTTCGCGTCACCGGCGTTTCCGTCCTCGGCACCGGCGCCGGCAACGTTGAACTCGTTGTTCGAAAACGTGAGCCTTCGTCTCATGAACGCGGATTTCTTCGACGCAAACTCATAACTCTCGCCGTCGTCCGCATAGTATGTTCCGCTCGCTCGACCATTTTCATCGAGAGCGACGATGACGGTGAGTGGATCTCCTCGCATCGCTGTGGTGCTCCGACGCGCCCGATCCTTGCGCACGAAAATCGTACCACCGCGAAGGAAGACGGGAACATCGCTGAGCGACACCGCGACATCGAAACTCTTCGGACCGACGTGTCGAACTCCAGATCGCTTCTCGTACCAGATTCCCTTTGGAAGATACACCGAGACACTCTTCGCGCCTTGTTCCAACACCGGCCGAATCAACATCGCCGTTCCCAACATGAATGCGTCTTGCGTCTTGAGCACGTCGGCGTCGGCTGGGAATTCGTACCAAAGCGGGCGCATCACAGGAGCGCCTGTTCGGTGAGATTCCTCGAAAAGGGTGTAAATGTAAGGGAGTAACGCGTAACGCTCGCGAATCGCATCGCGAATGATCGCCGTGTTCTCCTCCCCGAAAAGCCACGGCTCTCTGCGTTTCGTTTCCAAGTGCGCGTGGCCGCGGAAGAACGGGTAGTACGTGCCGACTTGATACCAACGCGTCATGAGCTCCGCGTCGGGGTTTCCGAAAAATCCACCGACATCGGCACCGCTGAACGTTAGACCACTCACCCCAAGCGTGAGCACCATGGGAAGACTCACCGCGAGGTGTTTCCAATCCGCAGCGTTATCACCCGTCCAAATCGGACCGACGCGTTGCGTTCCAGCAAAGAACGCGCGCGAGAGAACGAACGGTCGGTTGCCGTCATTACGTCGCTTCAGCCCTTCGGCGGTGGCCATGTGGTAGTACATGCCAAAAGCATTGTGCACGTCGCGATGCTCGACGCCACCGTGATGTATCAAGTCCTTTTGCATCGTGATCTCCGGGCCGTTGAACACGGATGGCTCATTCATGTCGTTCCAAATGTACAAATCCTTGGTCGATCCCTCGTACGAATTCAACGAAAACTTACCCGCCCACCATTCGCGAACGTCCGGATTCGTCACATCCAAATACGACGAACTGCCCGGCCAGCACCACCCGTCGAAATCCGTGTTGCCATCGTTCTTCTTGACATAAAATCCCTTGTCCTTCGCCTCCTTGTAAATGGGATACGCTTCATCTCTTTTCACGTGCGGATCCACAATTGTCACCATCTTGCGCCCACGGCTGGACAAGTCTTCGATCATACGTTGAGGCGTCGGGAACACCGCTTTATCCCACGTCATGTAACGCTTACCGTCGGTGTGCTCGATGTCGAGCCACAGGACGTCGTACGGAATGTCGTGCTCGTCGAACCCCTTGTCGACTTCCTTCACGTCGTTCTCGTCACGGTAATTCCATCGACACTGGTGATAACCGAGAGAAAACAAAGGAGGCATGGACGTCGTCCCCGTCAACGCCGTGTACTGCTGTAGAACTTTTCCCGGCGTCGTGCCAGGAAGAATGAACACGTCAATTGCGCCGCTTTCAGCCATCCACTTGGTGTGAACTCCGTTCGAGCCATCGACGTTGACGTCCACGTACATCTCGCTCGGATTGTGAAAGTACACGCCGGAAGTGATCGTCTCACTCGATCTAGAGATACCATGCGCCGTCATCATCGGGATCGAGCCATACAAACCGAACGGACTATCGTCGAGATATTCAAACACGTCGAGATTGTACATTCTGTATGGTTCTCCAAGCGTGCTTTCATTTCTCTCGGATTCACTCGCTGCGCCGCCGCCCTTGAACCAACCCTTACTCGCGCTCTCGTACTGACGTGTGGATTTCAGACTCAGCGAGGTCGCGCGCTCTGGAATGCCGTACACGTCGCTCGCGAAGGGAAAGGTTACGTCAAACGCGACGCCCGTTGGACCGCCCTTGCGCGTGTCTGTGTGTCCATTGAACGTCTCCGACCACTCCCCGCTCTCCTCGCGTGCGAGCTCCATCGCGAACCCACCGCGCTTGTTGAACACAGCGCTCGGAATCGACCCCGATCCCGGGGCGAACACCTCCACCGCGAACGGCTGCAGGCGCACGCGCGCGCGCGCGCCAGTCTCCCGAGCCTCAATCATCACCTCCCCAGCGCTTTCCGTCACCGCCAGCAAGGCCCGAGCGCTCACATCGAACTCGACCTCTCGCACCAACACGTCCTTCGGGACGTACCTCGGCTTCTGAACGTCATCGACGCGCACGCGAATCGCGCCAGAGCCAAACGCCTCCACCGCCACCCGCGCGCGCGCGTCGCCTTCCTCCCCCACCGCGCCCACGTTCACCACGTCCAACTCCACCACTCGCGCGCTCTTCGACCGCACGACCGCTCGAACGTCCACGCCGTGTCCCAGGACGTGATTCCGATCGTCGTCTCTCGCGACGCCGTCCCGCAGTCGCGCGCAAAACGAGCTCGTCTCGCACGTCTTAAAATCCTGCCCCTTGAACGCCCGTCCACGCGCGCACGCGCGCGCGAGGACGCACAGCGCGAGCGCCCATCCCGCGCGCGTCGCCGTCGCCGTCCCCGTCCGCCGTCCTCGCCGCGCGCCCGTTCCCATCGCTCGATGTCGACGATCGACCGACATCACGCACGTCACCGCGTCCCGCGCTCGAGCGCCCCCGCGTCGCGCTCGCCCGCGCCGCGCGACGCCGCGCACCGTTCCTCCGCGCGCGGTGCGCGCGCGATCGCGGTGCGCGCGCGCGTGTGACGCGTCGCGATCGTTCGAACCGGTCGAGCAATCGCGCGTCACCGCACATCGCGCCGCCCGCGTCGCACCGCGCGCGTCGTCGACGTCGACCGCGCGCGCGCGAGAGATGCCGGGACGCGCGACGCCGACGCCGAGCGAGGCGCCGACGCACGGGCGCGGCGAGGGCGTGGGCGCGGATTTCACGCGCACGGTGGGTTTTTCAGTGCCGAGCGCGATCGGGCACGCGCACGACGCCGGGAGGGACCACGCGCGGTCTGGGGTGGCCAAGGCGTTGTCGGCGTATCACGCGGCGTCGACGGCGTCGAACGAGCGGGAGAGCGGACGGGAGACGGAGAGGCGATCGATCGAGATCGAGGACGGGACGCGAGGCGGCGCGGCGGGGACGGATGACGTCGAGGTGGGGTCGAGGTCGCCGGTGATGATACTCCCGTCGACGGCGCGCGGGCAAGGAAGCGCGGGACGGATGATGGGGACGAAAGGGCCGAGAGAGGCGCGGGTGAGCGGTGGGGAGGGACGGGCGCTCGCGACGGAGTTCGCGCGAAAGGCGACGACGGCGGCGGCGGAGACGACGGTGGAGACGAATTCTGGGACGACGGTTGCGGTGACAGACGTCCGGGGAGTCGATACCGAGGTCGCGCGCGCGAATGAGCCGGTGGAGAAGGAGGTTTCCGTGACGGAGGAGAAGCGTTCGAGCGCGAGGGCGGATGAGGCGCCCGCGGAGAAGAAGGAAAGGAAGGACAAAACGGGCGGTCCGCCGCGTGATATTCCGGAGAAGAAACCACCGATGACCAAGGCGGATCGACGGGCGTTACAAGAGGCGCAACGCGCGGCCAAGGCGGCGAAACAGGCGGAAGCCGGCGGGGCGGCAAAGAAGCCGGCGGCTGACTCGAACGCCAGGGTAGGCGCCGACGCGCCCGCGCCCGCGGTCAAGGGATCGGAGGACAAGGCGCTGACGTCGACGAAAAAGAAGGCACCGGCGGTGGTGGCGAGTTCGGCGTTGAAATCCGGTGTGTCACACCTGCGCAGCGCGAACAAGGATTTCGTGCCCAACGTCTCGGTGCATCCGGCGGTGGAGCGTTTGGCGGTGAACTACGCTCGAGGAATTACGAAGGGCGCTCGCGAACGCGTGAGCGCGCTTTTGCTAGTCCTTCGTGCCGTCGTCGAGAGCTTCAAAGTGCCCGATGACTCGACGTATGCTGTGTCGCTGACGCAAACGATTAACCAAGTGGTGCACACGCTGGACAAGGCGCGTCCAATGGGCGTCGCCATGGGCAACGCGGTTCGTTCGCTGAAGACGCATCTGGCTCGTGTTTCCAGAGAGGAGGCTCAGGGAGTAAGCTGGGAAAAGTGCAGGCAGCAAACGCTCATGCACATCGATTACTTCATCAAGGAAAAGCTCGAGCTCGCCATTGCGTCCATCACCGACACCGGCGTGGCGAAGATTGAGAACGGTGATACAGTCGTGACGCACGGTGCGTCTCGGGTCGTTCGCGAAATTTTGCTCAGGGCACACGCGAACGGCGTCCAGTTCACCGTCGTCGTCGTCGATAGCCGTCCGTCGAGCGAAGGCGCCGGTATTCTTAGCGATTTGTGCGCGCAGGGCATCGACTGCGTCTTCACTGCGCTGAACGGATTGAGCTACATCATGGAACACGCGACCAAGGTGTTGATCGGTGCCGCGGCGTGCCTGAGTAACGGCGCCGTGGTCTCAAGAATCGGTGCCAGCGCGGTCGCGCACGCCGCCGTAGAGCGCTCGATCCCTGTGTTTGTCGCTGCGGAGACGTGCAAGTTCCACGAGCGTGTGCAGTTCGACGCCTTCGCGTTCAACGAACTCGGCGCCACCGAAGACGTCATTAGAGTCCGAGGTGTCGACGGCGTCCTCGCGTCCGCGGGCGATGTGGGCAGCCTCTCCATCATCAACCTCGCCTACGACATCGTCCCAGCCAAGTGCGTCGAGTCGATAATATGTGAAGTCGGCGAGATCGTCCCGAGCGAGGTCCCGTGCCACATTCTTCCGCACTAGTCGAAATTAGTATTGAAACGACCACCCTCGGACGACACGATCGAGATCAAACGCGTCCTCGCGATGAAAAATCTCCAAATCCCACTGGCGAACCTTTGAACGCGCGCTGACAGCTCGCTCGCGTCACATCACGACGCTCAATGCCGCTCGCCCACGACGCCCGCCACCGCACAGACGCCACGCGCGACGTCGCCAACCTCCGCGACGCCTTCTCACGCACCGCCATTCGCGCCAGGGGCGTCGCCACGTCGCAACAATTCAAAGATGCGCAAGAGTGGCTCAGAGAGCGAGATTACCGCGCGTACCTCCTCGCGTGCGGACGCCTGGACGCTCGCACCGATCACATGGACCCGGGAGCGACGCCGTTCGATCTTGTGCTTCGTTACGTGGTCGGGAAGACGCCGAATTTGGTCGATCAGAGCGCGCTCGGCGGGTTCGAGGACGAGTTTGTCGTCTGTCATCGAGACGCGCGCGCGGACGCGAGATGGGACGACGCGAGCGGCGCCCCTGGGTCGCTCGCGGGGGCGGATAGGGTGATCGGGGGATTACCAGGGCACGTGGTGATCTCGACGCGCGATGCGAGGTGGCAGCGGTCGAATGTGTGCGCGCTCGGATTGGGCGGCGACGAGAGGGATCGAAGAGAGGCGACGGCGTTCTTGTTGAGGATGCGCGAGGCCGCGATGACGTACGCGCGGGCGCGGGGATGGACGCGTTTGGGATTATATTTTAGGTTTTTCGGGTGCGAGCCCGAGGGTGAAGAGGAGCCGGGGATCATTCGGTTGCACGCCGTGAACTTGGCCCGCGCCGGTCCGTGGCTGAGACGAACTGCAAAGGTGAATTTACCAATCGACGACGTGATCGAGGCCTTAGGAGGCGCTCGCGCGTCGCGCCGAGGAGCCGTGTTGATCGTTTCGCCAGGAACTGTAGAGACGATTCCGAGCCATGCACCGTACGAGCGATCGGTTGACGCGTTGGTGGATGACGCCGACGCCAGCGAATCGAGTGATGAAGAAATTGAGGTCTTGATCAAGCGCGTTGTTGGCGCCAACACCGCTTCGGCACCGCCACTCGAAGACGATGTGGTCATCCCCGAGCAATTCAAACGACATTATGAAAGCGTTTCATCTGCTAAGAATGTTAGAACGGCGGTACGCGATGTTCAAGACCAAACGATGGATGGCGATAGCGCCGAAGCGAGTGGAGCGTTTTTCGACGACCTCGGATGGCTTCGCGCGTATAAAACACTCAGTTCACCCGCTCACGTGCAACGCGCGCTGAGAGAAGTCGGTCAATGACGCATGCGTGGCGAGCGCACGAAAGGATGATTGAGTTAGCTTACACATGACTAAGGACTTAATTTGCGCAACAACGATGAAAATATTAATGTACTGGGAAGCACTGCTGTTCGATGATGAACGAATTACTGTAATAATGAATAGGAATAATTGTACATTGTTGAAGCGTCACATCGCCACCACTGATTTGACGCCGAAGAACAAAGCGACGCTCGCGATGCTCGTCCACACGTTTACGAGGATCTTTCTTTGACCGTGGAATTTTCCCTCGCGCATCCACAAGGACTTGGATAAGAGCGGCGGGAGTATGCCCCAGAGAATGACCACGACCACGGCGCCCGAAAAGTGGATTGCGGAAAAGTACACCTCGGGTCCCTTGAATGCGAAGAGCAGCGACGGGATCAAGGTGAGCGCGATCACGGACTTGGAGCCGGAGACGGTTTTCTTCTTCAAAGCGTCTGCGCAAAATCTGCTCAGCGCGAGGTACCCACCTATGAGCGTCGACACGGACGCCGTAATTGCCACGGCAGCTGTTGCGTTGCCTAGAAGACCTCCGCTCTCTAACATCGTCTGCGCCAAATCGTTGCTTCCTTCCCACGCCCCGGTCTGCGCGAGCGCGACGATCATCCACGCCACGTACATGAACAAGGGCACCGACGTCCCGAGCAAGATGACTTTCCTTATGCGCTCGCGATCTCCTCTGAGCATGTCCACCAAAGTCGGCAGACACTCACCGTAGGTGAAGAGTTGGAACAATCCTGGAAGCGCGGGTAAGGTCGCGGCGAAATTCATGAACGCCAGTTTGTTCAGCGCCAGCGTCGTGCTCCCCGTGGCGCAGATGACGGCGAACGACGCAAAAATCCCAACCGTCGCCACCGCGTTAATCTTCGCCGCAGATTTCGAGAAGGCGGCGAATCCGATCAAACCCGCCGTCATCGCCGCACCGGCGACGTGCGACACCGCGCCGTTGCTGAACACACTCGCCAACTGTCCGCACTTTGCGAGCTGACTCACCAAGGTGCAGTTCATCAAGACGAAAAACGAGACCGCCGCCATCGCCCCCCACTTCTGTCCGAGATAATCGTTCGTCGCGCTGAGCAAACTCACCGCTCTTCCACTCGACCGCGCCCACGTGTGCACCAGCGTCTCCGCGACGAGCAACCCGCTCGCCGCGAGAACCGCCCACGCCCCCGCGCTCACCAACGCCGCCGGGACGAACCCCGCCGGCGCCGCAAAGTACGGCATCGCCAGGAATCCGCCACCCACCGTCGTCCCGACGACTAACATGATCGCCTCGAAATCGCTCGCTCGCGACGCGTGCAGATCCAACGGACACGCGTCGCCGTCGTCCGCCGACCCCTCTCGCCCGCGCGACTCCTCCCGATACGCCAGGTTCTCGTAGTACCCCTCGTCCAGCCCCGGGCGCTCTCGCCGCTCACCGCGTCGCGTGCGCGTGCCCCAGGCGCGTCGCCGGACGTCGCGTCGCGCCACCGCCGGGCGCGAACGCGCGCGCGCGCGCGAAGAGGACGCACCCGCGGCGCGCGTCGAACGAATGGCGCGCTTTCCCGCGATGGGCCACGCGCGCGTCGCCATGGTGCGCCGCCCCCGTCCTCGAACGCGCTCGGTTCGCGCGAGAAACCACTTCGCGCGCGACGCGGGGTCGTTCGCGCGTCGCGCAGTGCGGGTCGGCGGGGCGTCGCGCGGGCGACGAGACGGCGTCATTTACGTCGAAGGTCCGAATTCCAGCGAACTTGCGCCGCGCTCGCGGTGAAAGAAAACGACGACCCGGTGTCTAATCGTCGCAGCGCCCCGCACGCGTCGCACCGCTCGAGCGCGCGAGGATTCAACGTCTTCCCGGAGCATTTGTACGACTGACACGGCCACCACCCGTGTCTCTTCTTCTCCTCTCGCGCCACCTTTTCCTCCTCGGGCGTCGCGTGGATCGTTCCCCGAACGTGCGATTGCGTCGCCACGTACGCTCGATACTGCTCCAGCGTCATCGCCGGTCCCGTCGGCGGCGGCGGCGGCTCCGCCGTCTCCGCCGTCTCCGCCGTCTCCGCCGCCGCGCCGCGCGCCGCGTCCGTCGTCTCCACCCCACCCGCGTCCGTCCTCCCGCGCGCGTCGTCCACCCCGTCCGTCGTCGTCGTCGTCGTTCGCGCGCCCCCGTCTCGCGTCTCTCGCGTCTCTCGCTCGTCTCGCGTCGCTCGCGTCTCTCGTTTCTCTCGTTTCTCTCGTTTCGCTCGCTTTCGTCGTCGTCGCGCCGCGCGCTCGTCCGCGTCCGCGTCTCGCGCGCGTCCTCTTTCGCCGTGCGCGCGCTCGCGCGACGTCGACGTCGACCGCGGGCGTGGCGCGGTGGACATCGCGCGCGCGACGCGCGAACACGCCGTGGAGTGCGCGTCGATGGCATCGATGATGTCATCGACGATGTCATCGCATCGTGATTGTGACTTCTCCGCGCCGCACGCCGGCGCGCGCCGGACGATGGCGCGCGCGCGCGTGGGAACCGGAACGATAACGCGCGCGTCGCGACCGGTGCGCGCGCGGTGCGCGCGCGGGCGAACGACGACGCGACGGCGAAAGGTGGACGCCGCCGCCGGAAAGCCGCGCATCGCGACCGTCGCGCGCGGACGACGCGGGCGCGGCGTCGAGGACGGTGGTGGGACGCCGTCGCGCGCGATGTTCGTCGAGATGGATCTGGATTTGGTCGGACTCGAGGGTGAGCGATGGAAGCTGGACGCGGTGGCGGAGGCGATTCGACGCGGCGCGGTGGGCGCGATACCGACCGATACGAAGTACGCCTTCGTGGCGGATATGTCGAACGCGAGCGCGGTACAAAAGTTGTACGATATCAAGGGGTGTGGATATAATAAACCGTTGAGCATTCTGTGCAGGGGGTTCGCGGATATCGACGCGTACACGACGGGGTTCCCGAAAAACGTGAAACCGGGGGAGACGCTGCCGTTCAAATTGGCGAAGAAGTGCCTGCCGGGACCGTACACGTTCATCTTACCGGCGTCGAAGGAGTTGCCAAAGGTGTGCCTCGGCGATAACTCGACCAAGGAGAAGGCGAAGCAGTGCAAATCGAGAAAGACTGTCGGCGTGCGGATTCCGGACTGCGACGTCACGCGCGCCTTGCTCGATCTCTTGGACGCCCCTCTGATGTGTTCGACCGTCCCGGAGTGCGACGACGAACCGGCAGTGATCTACGACGAGTATCTCTCGCGCGGTTTGGGGTTCATGATTGACACCGGTGAGCGCCGCGCGTCCGCGGCGAGCACCGTCGTCGACTTGTCGTCGGGCGAGCCGCGCATCTTACGCCGCGGCGCGGGCGATCCGAACGTCTGGAGCTCCATCGACGAGGAAGAACTCGTCGAGAGCGACGACGACGCCGCGTGGGGATTCGCGTGACGCCGTCGTTCGTCGTTATTCTTTTGTTTTTTAACGCTCGTATGTAATAACAACCAACGCCGGCTCGAGCGCGCGACGCGCCGCATCTTCACCACAATCGTCGTCGCGCATGTTCGCCGCGCTCGCCGCGAGCGAGGACGACGACGACGGCGACCTCTGTTCCGTCGACGATCGATACCGCGACGCCCAGAGCGCGTCGTCCTCGTCCTCGAGCTCGAGCGCTGTGGAAGAAGACAACAGTTCCTCGAGCGACGACGACGACGACGACGACGACGACGCGCCGCTCTGGCGCTGGTCCACCGGCCGCGACGATGGCGTTGATCGTCGCGTCGATGGTCAGCGCGCGTCGAGACCGAAGCTCGCCCCGGGGGAGAAGAGGACGCTGCGGAAGTTGAGCGTCGCGACGAAGCGCGCGAAACGCGCGCGCAGGGACGGATTCGACCCGAGGGATGCGTTGGAGGTCATGCGCGCGGTCGTGGAGAGCGGAAAAAGTGTGCGAATCGTGTGCGCGAAGCGAGGGTGGGTGGCGAAGGCGCAGGGACGGGTGATAGGTAGACTCGCGCGGGCGCTCGGCGTACGCGCCGAGTCGCGCGCGAGAGCAAAGCGGAAAACGTACGTCATCGAACGCGTCGACGGTGAGAGCGAGATTCCGAGCGATGGGAGCGAGAAGATGCTAGAGATCGAGAGCGTGTGCGCGGCGCCGATGACGCGAGAGGAATATCTCGCGAGCGACGAACGGCGGGCGCGTCTGGAGAAGCGCTCCGCCGGTCTGCAAAAGCAGCGCGGTCGGAAAAAGGATCGAGGACGTCGATGGAGGTACGAAGACGACGAGACATCGAAACGAGACGATGTTATCGATTTTGAGCGCGAGCGAATCGATTCAACCCGCGTCGGCGGAGAATCGACGCCATCCGCGGCGGGACGGTCGGCGTCCGACGGTATGGGTGCCTTTGAGGCGCACACGCGAGGCTTTGGAAGTAGAATTCTCGCGCGATTTGGATTCAAACCGGGATCAGGTTTGGGCCGAGAAAATCAAGGCATCGTCGAACCTCTGAGCGCGGAGACGAGGGCGAAGCGCGCCGGTCTCGGGGCGTAGCGGCGTTTCGGTTTTGCGCGAATTAAACATGTTCTACATTTCGGCGCGCGAAGAATAGTAGCAGTAGTAAACAGTAGTAAGCGAAGACACCACGCCATCGCAACATCTTCTCTAATCTCTCTCTCTCCCTTCCTCTCACACCGTGAACGACTCACCGCACCCGCACTCCGCCTTCGCGTTCGGGTTCTCGAAGATGAATTCGCTTCGCAACCGGTCGCTCACGAAATCCATCTTCGTCCCTATGATGCTCATCAGCGCCGACGGCTCGACGATAATCTTCGCCCCATCCTCCGTCTCCACGAGTTCATCGAACTTCTTCCGTTCGCTCGCGTCGGCGTAATTCATCGTGTACGTCATCCCGTTGCACCCCCGCTGCTTCACCCCAATCTTCAGATATTCCTTCCCTCGCGTCTCCAGCAACTCCCTGATGCGCTTACTCGCGCTCGACGTCACCTCCATCGCTTGTTTTCGCACCACCGCCCGCTTCACCGCGGTACCATCGCGCGCGTCGCCCGTCGTCGTCGCCTCCGTCGCGCGCGCGCGCTCCGCCCCCCGCCCCCCCATCGCCCGTCGCGCGCTCGTCACCCCCCACCGTTCCCACGCGTCGCGCTCGAACCACCGCGCCGCCATCGCGCGCGTCGCCCGTCGCGTCGCCATCGCGCGCGCCGTCGTGCGCCCCGTCGCGCGCTCCCGTCGTCGTCGACGTCGTCGTCGGTCGTCGTCGTCGGTGCCGACGCCTATACCCTAAACCCTACCCAGCACGCGTCGGCCCATCCCGCCGATTCGTCTCCCGTACACGAGCCGTACAAAGACCAACAGTCGACCCACACACACCCCCGTGGTCAACATCGACGTCGACCCCCGTAGTGCGTCGAAGATATACCCGTGTGTGTTGTACAGGACACGATCACGCCGTCGTCGAGGGGGTCGACGCGCGCGCGACGCCGTGGACACACCGCGACGACGCGCGCGCGATGGCGCTCGGCGACGGGACGAATCGCTCGACGTCGGCGACGCCGGGAAAATTGGCGAGCGTCCGCGCACGGTGCGCGGTCGACGCGAACGTCGCGGACGCGGCGGTGACGATGGAATGGATGACTCGAGTGGAACGCGCGACTGACGGTTCGCGGACGCGCAGGATGGAAAACCTTCGACGGTTGAGCACGAGCGATGGACCGCTGAGCGCGAGGAAAACGACGTCGGGGGTGATCTCGCGCAGGGTTTCGAGAGGTGGTGGACGAGGTGCGGGCGATGACGGACGCGGGATGGGGGATGGGCGAATGCGCGTTTGTCCGTTGAGAAGGGGAACGAACGGATTTTGAGCGTTCGGGGGACGCATGCGCGATGGTGACGACGATACCGCGATCGCGTGGGGGGGTGGACGTAAGATGTGATACGTGGGCGTCGAACGCGCGTCTGGACGACGGCGTCGACGGGAGGATGGCGGAGAAGTGGGATGAGACGCGCGCGGATGAGGGACTGACGCGGATTTTTTCAAAACGCGCGCAGAGGACGGCGACACGACGATTTTGTTCGCGGACGGCATGCGATCGCAGGTGCAGAGCGTGGCGCGAACGATTTATAACGAGAGCCCGGCGATGGCGAACGCGCAGATGTGCTTGCAGTGGAGACCGACGGTGAAGAAGAAGGAAAACGTGGACGGTTTCGTCGCCGAGCTCACGAATCACATCAGGACGCAAAAGGAGACGCTGAAACTGTTGCTGCAGCACAAGGATGAGATGACGTCGAGGTGTCAGGAGATTGAAAAGAGCTACAAGATCGCGGTAGAAGACGCCGCGGCGAACGCGAGCGGGCCCCCGATGACGGTCCCGGCGACGGCGGCGGAGATGGCGGAGCTCAAAGCGGAACGCGAATGGTTGGCCAAGCAAAAGGAAGAGCAAATGACGCACTTGAACAAGGTCCAGGAGGCTGAGGAAGAATTGCAGCGTAAGATTGATGCTTTGAACGAAGAGCGCGCCAAGATTCGAGAGGAAGAGCACGGGCGAGTGATGGCGGCGCTCTCGAAGAAGATTCAAGACGCCGAGGCGCGCGTGCAAGCGGCGGCCGAAGCCGAAGCCAAACTCGCAAACGAGAAGCAGCAGATCATCCAGTTTCGGGAGATGGACAACGTTAGCGCGGCACAGGCCGGAGCCGCCGCGGCCGAGGCCAAGGTGGCCGCCGATAAGGCTTTCGAAGAGAAGCAGATGGCGCAACAAGAACTCGCCGCGGCTCGCGCGTTGCTCGAAAACGCCGAGAAGCAGCACGCGAAGATCAGCGAACAGCACGCCGAAGAGAAGACGCGTTGGGAGGTCGAACTCGCGACGCTGAGACAGTCGGAGAGCTCGTTGAAAGATGAGTTGGCCAAGCAGCTGTCCAAGCTCGAGGCCGTGACCTCTCAGTACGACCAGTTGGCGGCTGAGGCGGCGAGGCAAAACGAAAAGGCGCAGGAGGACATCGAGAAGATCGTCGCTGCGATGACCACCGAGAAGGAGAAGGCTCTCAGCGATCTCGAGCATACGCTCACGCGTGAGAAGAGCGAAGAATTGGGCTCTCTCGAGCGCGACTTCCGAGCTCGTCTCGAGCAAAAGATGAACGCGTTCAAGTCTGAGAACAAGGAGGAGATGCAGCAACGCATCGTTCAACTCAACTCACTTTTGGCTGAGCAAAAGACGAACGCTGAGACGACGATCGCTGCGTTCAAATCTGAGGCCACCGCCAAGGAGCAGTCCATCCGGGCTGAGTTTCAAGGCGCCCTCAAGGATGCCGAGCACAAGGCTGAGCTCGCCGCCGCGCGTGCGTCGAGCGCTCTCGAGAGCTTGCAAACGACGCTCGAGCAAGTCAAACAGTCTGCTCACGAGGAGCTGGCTCGCGTCAAGCAAGAGGCAACTCGCGCTCTGGTCGAGCAAGAAAAGAAGTTGCGCGAGGCGCACGCGATCGACAAGGCCAAGGCTCTCGAGGCTCAACAAGTCGAACTGCAGTCCAAACTTGGCAACGAGCGTGACTCCGCGCTCACTGGCTCTCGCGAGTCGCACCAGGCGGCTCTATCCGAGCTCGAGGTTCGCGTGCGACAAGAGTGTGCTGAAAACTTCTCAGCCGAACTCAAGACGGAGCGAGAGCGTACGATCGCGCGATTCGAGCACGTCAAGGCTGAGCTTCTTGAGAAGAAGGAGGCGGAACTTCAAGCGCAACGCGTCGAGTTAACCAAACAAGCCACGGCGGATCGTGAAGCCGCTATCCAAGCTCTCAAAGAAGCGCACGAGGAAACGATGGCAGAGCTGTCTCGAAACTTGAAGGCTGAGCTTGCTCAAGCGCAGACCAAGGGCGGTGGATCATCGCGCAGCGACGCGGAGATCAAGGCGCAAATGGAAGCCGAGAAGCAGGGCGCGCTCGTCACCGCGAGCGAGAAGCACGCCGAAGTGATGACTCGGAAGATCCAAGAGCTCACGGAAAAACTCACATCCGAGAAGCACAACGCTATTACCGCGTTGGAGCGCGAAAAGTTCGAGTTGGTCAGAAAGTATGAGGCTGAAAAGGCTGCCATGCTTGCCGAGCTGAAGGGTTCTCTGCAAAACAACGCCTCGCAGCAATTCGAAGCCATTAAGTCTCAAGCGCTCGAAGAGCAGCGCCAAAAGCTGACGGCTGAGAGGCAAGTTGCTTTGGAGAATCTCAGAACCGAGCTGACCGCTCTCAAGGATGTTGCTGTTGCTCAAGCCAAGGCGGAGGCTGCCGCGGCGGGCAGCATTGATTCAAGCAAATCTTTCAAGTCTGCCATCGAGAAGCTTCGAGATACGCTCGAGAGCGAAAAGCAAGAAGCACTCGCTCTGCAAGCTGCTAAGCTATGCAACGCGGCCGAGGCCGAGAAAGAACACGCGATGACGGAGCTCAGATCTCAGCTTCAAGCAGCAGCTTCGCGCGAGAAACAAGCGCTCATCGCGGAGCTCCAAACCTTCGGTGGGTCCACTCGAACGAAGGAGATAACAGAACTCGAGCAGAAAGCGCAACGTGTTCTGATGGAGTCGAATGAGCGCGAGTCCAGGTTGCACGCCGAAATCACGAGGTTGAAGATGGAAAAGGAGGATGCGCGACGCCAAGTTGCCATGGCCACGGCAGTGCCTGTCGCGATGGTCAAGGAAGATAGCGCCGCTGTGGATCGTATGAAGGTCACGATCGCGAGTCTAGAGTCCAAGATACGTAGTCTTGAGAGAGATGGAGGCAAGCAAGGTGAGGTTGCGAAGATGCAGGCTGAGATGGATCAACTGCGCAAGGAAGCTACGGAGGCGAACCGACGCGCTCAGCAAGTCAAGGACGAGCACCACTCGTCCTACGATCGCGTCAAGCAGCTTGAGATGCAGCTCGTGCAAGCGGATGATATGCGACGCGAAATGCACAACATGATCCAAGAGTTGCGGGGTAACGTTCGTGTAATCGCTCGCGTGCGTCCGCAAGATCCGGGAACGGAAAATGTCGTTGACGTCCCCACCGTGGACAAGCAAACGATTGCCGTGTCCATCCCTGAGCTTGACACGAGATTGTTCAACTTCGATCGTGTGTTTGACGCGCGAGCAAGTCAAGAAGAAGTGTTCTCCGAAGTCTCAGAGCTCGTTCAATCCGCGCTCGACGGCTATAAGGTGTGCCTGTTCTCGTACGGTCAAACGGGCGCTGGGAAGACGTACACGATGCTCGGCCAAGGTGAAGGTGAGCGTCGAGGTATCGTGCCACGAGCCGTGGCCAAGGTGCTCGAACAAGCTGAAGCGCTTCGATCGAAGGGATACGAGTATACGATGGAGGCGAGCTATGTTGAGATTTACAACGAGCAGATTCGCGACCTGTTGTGTCCGGGCTCGACACACAGCGAGCGTCACAGCATTGTCAATGCTCCAGAGGGTGGATGCCCCACCGTGACTGGTGTCGTACGCGAAGAGGTGACGTCTGTATATGACGCGACGAGCCTGGTCCGTCGTGCGATGAAGGCGCGCGAAGTGGCAGAGACGGAGATGAACGCAAACTCCTCTCGCTCGCACACGCTGTTCTTGTTATACATCACTGGTGTGCACCATGCGACGGGTCAGACCCTAACTGGTTGCCTCAACTTGGTTGACTTAGCTGGCTCTGAGAGAACGAAAAGGAGCGGCGCGCGAGGACAACGAATGACGGAGGCTTGCGCCATCAATAGGAGTTTGTCGTGCTTGGGAGATGTGTTTGCCGCCGTGGGACGGGGCGACAAGCACATTCCATATCGCAACAGCAAACTGACGTACTTGCTCGCGCCCTGCTTAGGGGGCGAAGGCAAGACGTTGATGGTAGTCAACATAGCCCCAGATTTGGATAGCGCGGAGGAGTCCATGTGCTCTCTCAGATTTGCGTCCACTGTGAACCAAGTGGAGTTAGGTAACGGGAAGAAGGCGAAGCGCAACGTCTCTCAAAATTTCGCGCACCTGATCAATGGCGGCGCGGAGGCTCCTGCGGCAAACGATCCGGTGAGCTCTAGAACTAGACGTGTTTCTGCGGGAGTACTCGCTAGTAGGGACAACGCAATGTACGACCGCCGCTCGTCCGCGGGTGCCAAGCGGGTGAATCCGTTTGGCCAAAATGAGCGCGCGCCCAAGACCCGGCGTAAGGCTTGGGAGTAGAGTTCGAAACTTTTGAATAATGAAATCGTGTAAATCATCAATCGCATGAAGTGAATCAATCGTCGAGTTGCTATCATACATGCTTGATTACACGCGTATCTAAGGTTCAAGCCGTCGGGCCGAGCTTTCAAAGCTCTCAATTGCGCGCAAAACTTCCGTACCGTACTCCTTCCGTCGCGCCTCTCCGCCAACGGGTTCAAGCATCAAACCCGCTCGCGGCCGAGGAACCTCAAAGTCCTCCTCACTCGTCCGCGAAACAGCCGCGGCGGTCCGCGTCTCCGCCAACCGTTCCATCAGCAGCGCCCGCTCCGACGCCAACTCTGCGCACCGTTCCCGCGCCGCCGCCGCCTCCTCACCCCTCGCTCTCGCCCGCGCGACCGCCTCGTCCCGCTCTCGCTCCATTCCCACCCGCATCTCTCGCTCCGCTCTCAACTCTCGCTCGAGCGCGAGTTCTCTCCGCCTGGCGTCCGCGCACCGCTGAATCACCGCCGCCACCTTTGCCTTTTCCTCCGCCGCCAGCGTCGCGATCGTGCATCGATGCAACGCCACATGTAAAGTCTCACCGCCGCGCGTCATCCTCGGCGGCGGCGTCATCGGCGCGACCTTGGCCGCTCGGAGCACATCCTTTGCAGGCACGACAACTTCACCATCACTCTCAAACGTCTTCCCGCTCGGCGTCCGGTCGAGCGACGCCGCGCGCGGCGCATCGTCCATCGACGACGACGTCTCGTTCGCATCGCTCGCCATCGCGCGTCGTCGAGCGCCGACGCGGCGCGAACTGGCGTTACTTCTCGCGCTCTGCTTTGAAGAGCATTTTTCATTTTTTTGGATTCAGTTACCCCGCGCGCCGCGCGTCACACGCCGACGCGGACGCGCGAAAACGGCGCGCACGCATGGTGGCCACCGTGACGAGCCTCGCGGCGACGCGATCGTCGTCGGCGAGCGCGCGGTGCGCGAAGAGCGTGCGGAATCATCGGTGGCGAGCTGTAGGTCGGCGCGAGCGAACGAGCGTGTGCGCGTCGCCGGTGGCGTCCGCGGTCGACGGTTCGGTGGATTACGAGGACACGAGCGATCGATTAAAGCTGGAGAACGTGCGACAGAGCCTGATAAGGCAGGAGGACTCGATCATCTTTGCCCTCATCGAGAGGGCGCAGTACAAGCTCAATAGAGCGGTGTACTCTAAGAACGCGGTGCCGGTGCCGTGCTTCGCCCCGAACGGTGATCGGGCGTCGATGTTGGAGTACATGTTGCGAGACGTCGAGCAGAGCCACGGGAGGATTCGAAGGTACACGTCGCCGGATGAGCACGCGTTTTATCCAGAGGCGCAGCCGCCGCTGGCGATTCCACCAATCTCTTTCAAGGACGTCTTGCACCCGGCCGCGGAGGCGATCAACATTAACGATCGAATCATGGATATGTATGTGAATAATTTGTTGCCAGAGATGTGCGAGGGCGGTGACGACAACAACTACGGCTCTTCTGCGCTGTGCGACTTGGCGTGCCTGCAGACGATTTCTCGTCGCATCCACTACGGCAAGTACGTCGCGGAGTCCAAGTTTCAGGCACAGCCGGAAGAGTACACAGAGTTGATCATGTCACAGGACGCCGAAGGGTTGATGCGGTTGCTCACGAACCAGGCGGTGGAGGATCGCGTCGTTCGACGCGTGGCGAACAAGGCGGCTGTGTTTGGCACGGACATCACCGAGGACATTCCCGAAGGCCTCGCCTTACCCATCGGCTCGGAATCCATGAAATTGGCGCCCGAAAAAGTTGGAGACCTGTACTACCGCTGGATTATGCCCATGACGAAGGATGTCCAGGTTGCGTACCTCTTGCGTCGTCTCGACTAACCCCTCACGCAACCTCACTAGCAAAGCCACCCCGTTGAAAGCGTAATACTATCGTATGAAAAATCTAACGTTACAATTGTTTTACATCTCATTATCTCTACGCGAAGTGGATCCCCTTGGAGTTGAACGTGGCGAGAAGGCGCAAGAAATCGTCTTGACTCATCTTGCTCGAGCGCATCTCCCCGAATCCATCCGTCGCGAGCACGTCCTCGATGAGCTGCTTCACCACCTCTTGCGACGATGCTTCGGACACGTCGACGTCCATCGACGCAGCGGCGGCCGCCTTCGCCGCCTTCTTATCGGGAACCACCTTCAACGCTTTATACGTGCGATAGTTGTTTGTCAACAATTCTAGGACGTTTTTCGTCCTGAAAATTCCCCCGAGCGTCTTGTTCTTCCGCCCGAAACAGAACCGCACGAGACCGTCCCACTCCTTGAAGTTGACGGGAATCTGAGGATGTCTCGGCTCGAGCCTCACCACCGACGAATCGACCTTCGGAGGCGGCCTGAAGTTATTCTTACCAACCTTCAAAATATGTTGCGTCCGCGCCAACAGCTGCGTGTTCACGCTCAGGCGACAATACAAAGAGTCCCCCGGCGGCGCCACCAATCGCATCGCAAACTCTCGCTGGAACATCAACGTCGCGCTTCTAAACATCGGCCGATGCGCCAGAAGCTTAAAGATCAACGGCGACGAAATCTGATACGGAACGTTCGCCACGCACACGTCAAAGTACGGCAGGTCCACCTTTAAAAAGTCCCCCTGAATGATCTCCAACTTTGAGTTCCACACCGGATCGCCCTGCACCCGTCTTCGCAACTCCAACACCATCCTAGGATCGAACTCCACCGCCACAACCTTCTTACACGCGTCCAACAACTTTGTCGTCAAGTTTCCCGTCCCCGGCCCGATTTCCAGCACCACGTCCGTGCTCTTCACCCCAGCCTTGTCGATGATCGCCGTCACGATCGCCGGGTTCTTCAGGATGTGCTGCCCGAACGACTTCAAGAACTGAATCCCTTGATACGCGCTCCGATCGTCGCCCCCTTTCCCTCGCTTCACGACGCCACCGCCGGCGACGCGCAAACCACCGCCGCCGCCGCCGTCCCCGGGTCGTCCGAATTTACCCATCGTCCACCCGTCGACGCGCGCGCGTCTCCACGCCGCCGTCGACGCCGACGCGATCGCGCGCGCGCTCGCGCGCGTGGTCGACCTCCTTCGACGCCGCGCGCGGCGTCTCGCTGTGCGCGGCGTCGCCTCGAGTCGCTCGACGTGAACGCCGTGCGCGAGGGACTCGGTGTGGAGTCAGGACCCACGACGTGGGGTGTGGATTGGGTTCACGAGTCATCACTCACGGTGTGTCCGTCGAGCGCGCCAGCGCTGGCGCCACGCGCGCGACGGGCGACGCATCGCGACGGGGCGCCCGCGACGCCGGCGACGGGGGCGACGACGACGACGACGACCTCGTTCGCGCGCGCGGTCGAGCGACGCATCGCGACGGGCGACGGGGGCGCGCGCGCGGGGGGGGCGATTTGAGCATCGCGCATCGAGCGGTCGTCGCGAAACGGCGGTTCGTGGACGCGCGGACGACGCGACGGGTGCGGGCGCGCGCGCGCGCGTGGTGGACGACCGAACGCGCGCGGTGGGTCGAGGGCGCGGACGGGCGGACGGGCGTGGACGATGAACGGGGATGGGGGGGTGGAGAGCTCGCGCGCGTCGGGCGGGACGGATGTCCCGGGCGAAGACGCGGCGCGGACGCGCGCGACGCCGAGCGCGACGTCTCGGAAAGATAAGTCGTTGTGGACGCTGTGTGAACGGTTTTTGACGATTTATGGAGATGGATCGAAGGAGAGCGTGTCGCTGGACGATGCGGCGACGCGGCTCGGGGTGGAGCGTCGAAGGATTTACGACGTCGCGAACGTGTTGGAGAGCGTGGAGGTGCTCGAGCGCAAGGCAAAGAATCAGTACACGTGGCACGGCGTGCGAAGACTCCCGGAGTGCCTGAAACGGCTCAAGGAGAGTGGATTGCGGGAATTTGGGACGGATGTCGAGCTCGATGGAAGCACGAGCGAGGGACGTGACGGGGAAAAGGAGGATGGAACGGCTCGAGGCGGCGACGCCTCCGATCGAAGCTCTCCCACAAACTCGTCGACGATCAACTTGGACGCGAAACAGCGGGGTGAGAAGGTTACTGGGACTAAGTTCTTTGGACAGGGGCGATTCGCCGTCTCGAGCGCCAGTTACGACAGCCGGCGGGAGAAGAGTCTTGGCTTGCTGTCCCAAAAATTCGTTCAACTCTTCCTCGCGTCAAAGATGAATGTTGTCAGTCTGGAAACGGCCGCCAGGATTATTATGGGAGAAGACGACGACGATGAAGCCAAGTTGAAGACTAAAATTCGTCGATTGTACGATATCGCCAACATCTTGTGCTCCTTGCGCCTGATTCGAAAGGTACACGTGGGCGAGACTAGAAAACCAGCCTTCCTTTGGCTACAGCGAGAAAACTCCATCGCGGAGCTCATCGCGCAGGGCAAGGGGCTGATGTGGTTCGATAAATTGAACGAAGAGGAAGAGATGCGTTTACAGGCGTCCATCATTGAATCAAAACTCGACGGGAACGAGGTGTTGATGGTTGACGCGGAGAATAAACGACGAGGCGCGTTTTACGATTCGCAGACTAAGTCGGGATCTAAGCGTCCTCGAGGACGTCCAAGACTGCCGGGTGGTGACGTCGACGCGTTGCCTTCATCCGTACCTCCATTAGGCGCGTCTTCGATGACGCCCGAAGAAGCGGCGAGGTTCAATCAGTTGTTCGCGTTCACCACGTCACAACTCATGGCACAGTACCCGCTGGACGTGCGCGCGGATGTGAACAGCATCATGGCGCAGAGCGCGATGGGTAACGCAAACTACCTTCATCTTCTCGCGCAGTCTTCCGTGGCCCAAGCGCACGCGGCGCGACGGATGGAGAACACCGCAAAAGGAATGAGCTCTGATTCCAGCATCGACAACACGGCTATGTTCGTGCCGCCACTTCCTGCGTTTCCCGCGATGCTTCCGGCGTGGGGCATGTCTGGCTTGTCTTACCACAGCAACCACATGGAACACATGATGCGGATGTACGAAACTTCTCTGGCAACGATTAGCGACAACGACCCCTCGCATCCAGATGGAAAGATTGCCGAACAATAAGCCTAAGTCGGATATGTACCCAAGTCGACTTGTGTAAAATATTTCGCGCGCGAATGTAGCAAGCATTTTAATCTCGCAGAGAAGTTATCTTTGGTTCGTTTTGTCGATTCTTCGCATTACTCGTCTACTGTGCGCGGAATCGTTGTCTCGTAATGTCATGCGTCTGGTCTCGTTTTGTTTGACGCGTATCGTATCTCGAGTATTTTGTTGCTAACTCTGACTAACTCCCACTCACCCTCTTCACTTCGAGGCGGCAACCTCCGCCTTCTTTGGTTGCCGCGCATTCTTCGTGCCGTTCTTGCGCTCACCCCCACCCTCTCCGTTGCGCCCGCGGGATTCCCGTTTCCCGTTGGCGCTCACCCCCTTGGCATTGACTGCTGAAGCCTTCTTCATCTCAACCACCAACACCTTGCCGTGCAGCTCAATGGTTGCTTCTAATGCCGCCTGCACCGACGATGGTTCCTCGAAATCGATGAAAGCGAACTTGGTCTCGTGGTTCAACTTGGGCGACTTGAGGTTGATGCCCTTTGCGCCACCGACGACGACCCCGAACTTGCTGAACTCGATCTCGAGATCTTCCACCGTCGATTCGATGAAGATGTTCTTGATGAAGATGCCGCACCCACGCTTTGTCGGCGAAGCTACTTGCTCCGTTTTCTCCACCGCCGCGGGCTTCGCCGGCGATGCCGGTCCCGCCGTGGGGGCGGTCGCGACAGCCGGCTTGGCAGCCGCGACCGCCGCGGCCGCGGCAGCCGCCATCATCGCGTACGTCCTCGGTTTGTTAGGATCAACCTCCGCACCCTCCTCTACACCCTTCGTCTCTTCCGACGATTTCGTCTCGACCGCGTCCGTCGCCTTCACCGCCGCCTTGTCGCCCTCCTTTTTACCCGCCTTTGTCTCAACCTTGGTCGCCGGCGCTTCTTGCTTGGACGCCTCCTTGGCGTTCTCTCGCGGCGTGGCAACCGTTGCACCCGCGACTTCGACCTTATCGAGGTATCGAATGATGTCATTCAGCACGAAGAAACCATTCTCTTGCGGCGCGAGCACGAAGGATTGCACAAAGTTGCGCGCAACGTTTTCACCCTTGCGGCGCAAGGCGCCAGTGACTTGCACAAGCACGCCACCGCCGAGGGTGTGCGATGCGTCGATCGACTTCACGTCCGCTTGCGATTCATCGTATCGCATGCTCACCACCTTGTTGTGGATGTCGCGTTGGGTCCGGTACGTCGTCGGCGCGTCGCTCGCGCTTCCGTGCTCGCCGCTCACGATGAGCGTCGAATCATTCGTGTAAAATCGGTACAACACCGCCGGTGAAGAGTGAAGAATCGTGTAAAACTGGTTCACGAACGAGTTTCCCACCACTTCCGCCGCGGGCGTGGGCGCTCGCGGCGCCATGTACGGCACCACCGCCGGCGCCACCATCGCGCTCGGGTGATACACCATCGCCGGCGGCGAACCCTTATTCGCGTTCGCCGGCGCCTTTATTCTCGCACCCGTCCGCCCCGTCCCGTTCGCGCTCGTCGTCGTCATCGTCGTCGTCATCTCACGCGTCTTCTCGTCCCTCTACGCGCACTATCGCGCCCTCAAGCGTCCCTACGTCCAAACATTCGTCAGTCCCGCGTCCCAATCACTTCCCATCTCCCGCATCGCATCCAAAAAGCCCTGAACCGCTCGCGTAACCGGCGTTTTCGAGAGTCCCTTTCGCCCGCGTCCGCCCCCCGCGCGCGCCCCCACGCGCG